TAAGTGCATTAAAAATGAATACATTTGCCTGTTTGCATTAGATAATTATATGTAGACTTATAATTGTTTACTATTGTAATGACATACTCTATATTTTTTTTTTAATGTATTTTTTCACTTAATTTTTAAGCACTTGTCTCCAGAAGTTATAACTGTTCTAACTGGCAGTTTTTAAGACAACCATTGGACAACCAGTTGTATGAAATGGTATAGGGTTTCCTGCCTAAGTAGGGGGTTGGACTAGAAGACCTCCAACTCCCTTCCAACTTCTGTTATAACAAGTGCTTAAAAATTAAGTGAAAAAATACATTAAAAAAAATAAAATATAGAGTATGTCATTACAATAGTAAACAATTATAAGTCTACATATAATTATCTAATGCAAACAGGCAAATGTATTCATTTTTAATGCACTTAGATAATGATCATCCTTTTTGCTGAATTTTGTATAAATGAGTCTCATATTTTATTTATCCATACAAAATCTACATCTGTAGGCAATCTACTCATAAATAGCAAGGGTAAGCAGATCTTCAATCCTTTGAATAAATTGGCCGTATACTGTATTTATCTTTCTAATGTTGCAATATCCATCTTTTAGCTGTTGTAAGGGCATGGAGAATCCATTTACGATATGCAGTTATCAAATTCTAGGCATGCAACTAGGCATGCAATTCAAGAGAATGTTATTAATCTAAAAATAATACAGTGAAAACTAAAGGTCTTGCTCATAGTAATACCCTTTAACTTTTGGGCGTTCATGGCTTCATGTATCACCCTTTGCATTTCTAAGCACCATCAGGGAATAATTTACAAAATATTTGGTAGTGATGCACATGTGGTTTATGCAGAAACATTCAGATGGCTAATTTCATAATGCTTTTCGGAAGCTTTTGCGTCTCCATTACTTGTGAGCTTAACTGATAATGGTACTTCTGGATTTGTTTGTTTTGCTTCCTTAGGACGTCCTACTGCTAAGTCAGTTCATAACCTCTACAGGAGGGATGATATCTCGTAAGATCACGGGCCTTTGTGACGAAGAGCACAGAAAGATTGCAATGTGCGTGGAAATGGCTCACCGAGCAGGTAACTACTTTCAGTTTCCTTGTTTCTCTTTTGTGTGTATAAGAACCAGCTGGGGAAAAATGAATCCTAGTTTCTCTAAAACATCATTTTCAATGATATTTACTAACCGTGCTTGCGCTGCTTGCAAACATCCCCGCAGCAAGTTTCAGTTTTACTGTTTACGGTTAAACTGTGATAGAACTTGGTAGTCTTTGTTGTGCTTTATGATACATTTAGCAATCCTAGCAAGATACATCAGCAAATGGGTTAAGAATGTAGACCCTGTGCAAAAGATCCCATTAATCCTGTTAGCTCCAGTGTTAGAAAGCAAACTCAGGCAGAGCAGTTTCTGCTCTGATCTCTTTGGTCTTATTTCATTGTACAAAATATAAGGAAGCAAAAAGTTAGGGACTAAAGGTCAGCAATGTTTTAGGAATCAAGGTATGGAACTAAAAGTCAGCATAAAATATAATATTTTAATAATAAATGGAAGCTACAAATCTGGTGGATTGTAGCATGTATACCAAGATTCTGTGTAAAATCAAAGTGCTACGATGGGATCAACCTACTATCCCATATGATTTTAGAGACACTTTAAATAATCATTTGCAGCTGATTCGTATGCTTCGAAAATAAACAAGATAACAAGATTTCCATTTATTGGAGATGAATGGGTAACTGTATTTGAGTTCGTAACATAACTTATGTACTAGGATTGGATGTGTATTTAGGAAATTGCTTAATTTTTTTCCCCTTTTTCTCTCTCCTTCCACCCCGACACTCCCCTTTTTAGGTTTGCTGCCAGATCATAAACCTAAACGTCCTGAAGGTTTTGTTTCCAAACCTAAGCTCAACAGGTCAGGTGCTCTTTGACTACTAAGTGGGTGAGGGAGGGGAAATTTTTAGAATCCTTAGAAGCAGGCCGAAATCAACAGTTCAGGTAGTCCTCAACCTATGATCACAGTCGAGCCCAAAATTTCCATCACTAAGCAAGGCAGTTGTTAGAGAAGAATTGCCCCATTCTACAACCTTTCTTGCCACTGTTGCTAAATGAATCATGGAAGTTGTTGAGTGGGACATTCAGTAATGAAACAAATTTGGCTTCCCCCATTGACTTTGCCTGTTGGAAACCAGGGGAAGATTATAAATGGCAGTCATGTGACTCCAGGGCAGTGCAAGTGTCATAAATATATGCCAGTTGCAAGCGTACAAAATTTGATCACCTGACCATGGGGATACTGCCATGGTCGTAAGTGTGAAAACCAAGTCATAAGTCACTTTTTTCAGTGCCATTGTTCCTTCAAATAGTTGCTAAATAAATGGTTGTAAGTTGAGGACTACCTGTATAGTTTCCGAAAAATATTAGTTAAATAAAAAAGGATCCAATGGGAGTACTAAAAATTGATAAAATAAAATGAGGGAATAAGATAATATGTGATTCAGATCCCAGTGGGATGTTCTTTCCAGTAGTATTTGAGCCTAAAGGGGTGAAGACAACAAATAGATCCATGATCCAGTTTGTGGACTATAACATCCCTCTAATTCAGGGGTGTCACATTCGCGGCCTATGGGCCAGATGCGTCACCTGCTGGCCATGCCCACCCCCATGCTAGTGAAGGGAGGAAAGTCGTGATACGTCACGTGGTGACATGATGTCGCGAGTTTGACACCCATGCTCTAATTTCAGTAGAAGCCTAATATATGGGTATCCCCACTGATCTTTTAGTTGATAAACTGTTTAGTTGGAAAATTTTCCTACATATAATGAATCTGTAAAAGGAAAGAGCCACGTATCATACAAACCATCTTGTTCTTTTTTAGTCTTCATGCTTTCATTATTTTCCATTCCCCCACCCCCCCCACCCCTTAATTTTCTATTATCTTGTCTACTTTTAATCATTTGGCAATTGTGAGCTACAGAATAGATAAGCAAGCTTATTAGCATCAATGGGTGACAAAAAGAACACGAAATGGCACTTATTCTGTCTCTCCCTTTTTATTTTAATATTTTTTTCTTTGCCTGCATTTCGTAGTTTACCTAAATTTTGTTCCTTCTCTCTTCCAATCTTCCAGCCTTTTTTCTCCTCTCCATCCTGCTTTCACACCTAGTTCCTTAATGGGGAAACTTTACCCTCCTATTGCCTTTTTTTTTTTTTGGTGTGTGTGTTCTTTGCTGTCTGTTCAGAGGAGCTAATCCCTTATTTATGACCTTGATTTTTGTTCCCATGGAGATGTCAAAGCACTTTATGAAGGCAGGGGTTACCAAATGCCAGGGTCACTGTTCTTTAGGAAAAATCAGAAACTCTGAGGTTGCATCCTTGTCCTTTTCCAGGGATGTGGTGGTCATAGCTCAATCTCTTTTTCTGTTGATTGTATTCTGAATAAATTTTGGAAGTGCTTCTGTTATTTTTATTTCTTGGCCGGCCTTTATGTTTTTACAAGAATATATGGTATTTTTTCGTGCTATAAGACGCACTTCCCCCGCCCCCCAAAAAAGTGGGTGGAAATATCTGTGCGTCTTATAGAGCAAATATTACAGCAGGGATGCTGGCGGCAAATGCCGCCACCGGTCACTGCTATCACCATTCACCGCTGCCAGGGAACGCTGGAGTCTTCGCTGCCGAGCAGCTGATTTGCGGTTGAATGCCGCCGCCCCCCCCCCCAGAATACCACCAATCAGCTGTTCTAGGTGGCGGGGATTGCTGCTACTGAATGACGATGAGCGGTGGCGATCCCCACCGCCTAGAACAGCTGTTTGCAGTATTCCGGAAGGCCGATGCAACTACCAATCAACTGCTCAGCAGCGAAGGCTCCAGCATTTCCCGGCGTAAGCAGCAGCTCAGTTCAGTTGACCAATGTGCTGGGGCTGAGATAATGTGCTAAAGCTGACCAGGCAGTTTGCTGCAAGGATGCTAGCCAGATGAATACCAGATGGATGCTGGGAGGCAGAGGCAGATTTTTTTTTCTTGTTTTCCTCCTCTAAAGCTAATGTGCATTGTATGGTCCGGTGCGTCTTCTAGTGCGAAAATTACAGTATTTTTAGGAACATGTTTTATGTGTGTAGAGAATATTTGTATATGTATAGACCCTGTTTAAAACTTTAAAAAGAAACAGGATACCTACTACTCCCCAGGATTCCTTTTATCAAATCTTCTTTCTAGACTTTCATAAGATGATTTATTAGTTCTAGCATTAACTCCACAGTCTGAATTCAGCCTACTTGATGAAGGCAGCAGTGATCAATTCTATTCCTTTCCCTGTGGAACAAAAATAGAATTTAAGCCAAACAATTTAACAAACTGCTGTATAGTTCCTAAAGAGAGATTTCATTTTGGTAGCTCTTATGTTTGTCTTTCCTTTGCTTTCCCAGTGTAGAGCTCGCAGACTTGGAGGGTGGGTAAGGAAGCCAGGCTGGAATAAATTTGATAACAGGATAAAACAAGGAATTGTATTTGAAAGTGATAGAGCATTAATGAAATGCAAGTTTTTGGAACAGTAAGTAGAACTAGTAGAACAGCTAGCTGTCTTTGCTGAGGCATTTTTAGGAACGCTTCTCCAACTCATTGGGATTTTGTCTCTGTTGACTGCAGAGAGAAAATGTTTCATTCTTGGACAATTGCCATATCTCAACCAGGACAAGAAAGTTGTGGATTTGGCTGTGTGCCTACCCCCCACCTGTGCCTCCCACATTGATTTCTGGGACAGCCAGCAATGCAGAGAAAGTGGATGTTTTTTAAACATTTATTTTTTCCACAACTCTTAGGGGTTAAGTTGTAACACACTGCTCAAACTGCCACATCCTATATTCAGAGCCGTCTCAGAAGAAGCAATGGTCTTCAAGGCACAGGACTTGTGTTTGGAAATTTGTTTCCAACTTTGTTATGATTGTGTTTAAGCATCTGTCTTTCTGCTCTCTGCTCCCACATGCACAATATACCTTTTAAGGTAATTGGAGGGAAAGTACATTGGTTCTTGACATGGTAAAACTGTGTAAATCAGAGCGCTAACATTTCATGGCCTCTCATTTAAAAATAATGGCAAGATGCATTTTATTTCAATTACATTTAGGAAGCATATTGTGAGCAAGGAATACATTATTCCCTATATACATTTCTTCTTCCATTTCTTCATTTTTAAGAGAGAAAGGCATTGCTAAACTGAAATACTAGCAATGGTTGCAAGAATTAGTGGTCTAAAAATATTACAGAATATAATTGTTATTATTGTTACTACAGAACCAATTTTGATTTCCCAGCTTTTCTGCAACATGGCTGGACAGAGTCCTTCCCCCATGTAGGGATAGAGAGTTGGCAACAAGACAGGGTCACCCGGACAGACTCATAGCCAAGTAAAGATTTTAATCCAGTTCTCAACAGTAATAGCTGAACTCAAAACCCAGTGCCATACCAGCTATTTTCTCTCACCACAAGCTTTCAAAATGTTGAGCATTGCCCTCCCCTGAATAGGATGAAAACAAGAATTTTGTTCTAAAACTTTCCCCGAATTGAAGGACAGGTCATGCATACAGAGTGCGTGACTTCATGGGAAATTTTGCTTTACGTGTAATAATTAAATCTTTGCCTTAACCTGAAGGCCGTTCTCTGTGCTCATTTCCCCTAGAAATTCTTCTCATTATTCCCATGAGCAAAGAGACAAGTAACCCTTTGAATATCTTGGCCCAGTGCCCTGCCTTGATGAAGGTGTAGAGTTCTGGCTCTCTCCACTGGTAGCAGATGAGAGGATGACTGCATGAAACCTTGTCTCAACACCCCTTGACTCCAGAATCTGAAAATCACACCACTGAAGTTTGACAGCAAATTGGCTAAATTTCAGATTTTAGCAGGGATTTTTCTATTTTTAATATCTTTTCTGGGATTTGGGGGGGAGGGGGGGGAGAGGGGTAGTTTGAAAAATATTAAATATATCAACTATCATCCAAGGCCCTGAAATTGCCATGTGCGGCAGGAGAGGCACAATTGGGGACTGCTTTCCAAGATTTAGAGGAATTCAGGTAGTCTTCACTTACCAATTACTATTGGTAATTACTAATTAAAGATAAAAGTAAAAGTTTCCCCTGTCCAGTCCATGGTGGCCAGCCTATGGCACTCAGAGCCCAGCTCCACCACACATGCGCATGTGCCTCCCGCTGGCGAGCCAGTCTTCAGGTCCCTGCCACACATATGTGGGGGGCATGCGCGGGGGGGGGGGGTGCTAACATTGCATTTTGGGCTCTCAGGCACCCTGTCCCCCATTTTTGGCCTGGCAAGCCTCCTGCACTAACCTGGAAGCCAAAAACAACAACAAAAAGGTTAGCCATCACTGTTATAAGATATACAAAGAGAAAGAGTTGTACATCAAAGTAGCAGAGCTTTCATCTCAGGTTCACATTCTTCTGCCTGTTGTTTTTCCAGCCACCCCTATCTTTTTCTGTCAGTGTCCCATATTTACTGTACAGGAGTTTTTCTGTGCCATCATTGCACTATTCTAGGAATGTGTGTGTGTACAATGTGTATGTGTACTTTTGAGAGCATGAAACATAATTTCATTTTTAACGTGTGCCAGTGTGCCCACAGTAAAAAATGACAGGTTTTTCTTTCTTTCTTTCTATTTATCTCTATCTATTTAGTTTTTCTTTAAAAGTAATTTAAGAACTTTATCTGTTCTCCCAGTTGTATAATTTTTAGATTTTATTATATGTCATATCATTTCCAACATCTGTTTCCTAAAGCTGCAATAAAATTATGTCTAGACTATATAGAGAAGATCAGCACCTGGTAAATTACATCATAAAAATAATATGGTAATTTGTGTATATGCTGTAATAGGGATGTTAATCTGAATCCATGCATTACAAATTCATGGTCATATGAAAATATAGTAAGGAAAGCTTATATAGTGAATACTTTACCTGAAGCTAATGAAAGATTTAATATGTTTTATTTTTACTACAAAGACTATTGAAAATTACATAGGAATCTAAACAATACTTAGTGAATTGTCCCTCATACCAGTTTTTAAGACATTAATGGCCATTATAAATAAGACTATAAGGAAAAGATCTGGACTTAATTTACACACTTTAATACTTTACATTTTATCTACTGCTTTTGGCTTTATTAAGCCTAAGGTAGCATCCAGCATGTTCGTCTCTATTCTTATCTGCTCTTCAGATTTCAGTCTAGACTTGACTGCTGTTCTGAAATTTTGCCATTTTCATAAGCAAACTTGGTTCAGTTCACTTTTTGCAAGATAATAGATCAGGTTTCGAATGGGGAGGGGGAGTTCGGTTCTAATCTTTAGTAAAGCAGACAGAGACAAACAAAAGTTATAACTACAGTCTACACAATACAATTTAGAAAGGCCTCCTGGAATTGGCATATATTCCATACTTCACACTGCCATTTTAAATATCTGTAAAATTAGATTGGCAGATTATGATGTATTTAAGTGAAGCCTGTAGAAACTCCTGTAGTTTCTCTATGAAGTTTAATTTATAAAGAAATTTTAGGCTTTGATTTGTCCTGTGTAATGAAATATTTTGGTGGGGGATATCTTTGGGTTAGTTTCTAGTGACTGCCTGGACCAGTCCCTGCAATTTTCTTGGCAAGATTTCAGAAGTGGTTTGCCATTGTTTTCTTCCTAGGGCTGAGAGGATTGACTGGCCCAAAGTGACCCATTGATTTTGGGCCGACTAGAACTCAGTGTCTTCTGGTTCCTAGCCTGATGCCTTAACTGCTCTTCCAGGCTCGCTCCCTAATAAAATCTACTGAGCCATTAACTATTATTAACTCCAACTGTTTTTTCCCAAATGATTCTCAACAGGTTTCTCTTTTTTATATCTAGAATGAAGCATGAGTTCAGTTGTGCTAAATGTATTATGTGAATTAAAAAATCAAACTTTACTAATATTTTCAACATGAACAATATTATTTCTTCAATTCCTTGATGTCTATTTTTTTACATTTCTGAACTTTGTAGCTATTACAATGTGCTTACATCTTAAGCTATTATTTATTTGACAGCACCAGAGAGCAAAACCTTCTATGGAATCTTTCATTTTGAAAAGGGTTGGAGCAATAGGAACATATTTATATGCTCAAAACTGCTTGAGGCTATTGGGATTTTATTATCATTTTGCACATCCTAAATGGGCAAAGACACAAATCAGTTTTACACAGCTCCATCAAAAGCCCTTAACATTCGTGTATGCATATTATTCCCCACCAGAGATGCATATGTGCAATTTTATTGATAACTTCCTTGTCTGCACTGTTGAATTTATAAAGAGAGTTTTGTTAAACTAAATTGAAAATTCTGCAGGGGGAAAAAAACCTTGAGAGCAAAATGCTATGACGATTCTATGTATTTCTGGTTAATCTTGCCTTCAGAAGCTAGTGGATACAGTATAACCAATCCACTTTCCTTAGCTCCTTGGTTCTCATAGGAAAAAAATTCTTTGAATCCTATTGCACAAGCAACTTAACTCATTCCTTTTTCTTTTCTCTCATTTATTTAGTTTCTATTATGTTTTAATGTTTTTTCTTTCTTTTATATATTTTTATATTACAAGCAATAAAAGTCACTTTAAAAAAGAACTTCACTGCACTTTCTTATCAGAATGTGTGAAAAAGAATGGTCCTGCCAATTCTTATTCTCTTGTATTAAGAAAACTTAACCAAGTTTTTTTAACAAAACAGACATGAATTCCTTTGGCAATTCAAATTCTTCTCAACTTTAATAGAGCTGCCTTGTGCCTGTCTTGTGAACACAGCCAAGATTCACCAGATAACCGTTTGAAAAGGATGAAATAGAAATAATAAGATTGAAGTTGGCCAGGGAATAACCTGATACACAGATGTTGCCAGTCAGAATTGGACCTTGCTGAAGGAGCAGTACATGCCTGGTTTTATTTTGGAATGATGAAATTGTGGAATGAATGAATGAGAAATTAATGGCCATTGACTGAATTTTAGAACAATACCTAATAGGAAATGGAAACAGAACAGAGTTTCTTATTTCTTGCCTGATTCCTAATCTAAAGCAGCACAAGGCAGGAGCATTATAATTAAGTACTCCCGCTATTGAAACTGAAGAGGTAGAGCCCACAGTTAAGATGCTTAGATCATTTCACAGAGGCACATGGGGCCCTAGTTGCCATTTCTGTGCTAATAAAAATCAAATGAGGATGCCTTTTATAAGTATTGCATTTTAAACATAAGTATTTATTGCAGTTTAAACATTTTAAACTGTGATTTTGACAGTTTTATTCATGGCATGGTTTTCTGCTTCTCTTCACAGGTACCATACCAGATATCCTATCGAATGTGTGAAACCCATTTACAAGAAGGGGAGAAAATGGTGCAAAGTTCCTATGCCTATATCTCATCCACTACTTAAAGATAATATTACTTATGGATCAAAGCCCCTTCGTTTTAACCACTGAAGGAGAGTGCAGCTTTAGTTGACAGTAGATGACATTCATTCAAACCATCCTGTGTGCATTATAGATGTTTTGTAGAGTCTGGAAGAAAGAAAATGGTTGCAGTTTGGTGATGTTGTTTTGCTGGAGCCTGGGAGGGCTAGATGAACAACCAATTTGTCGCCTCTATGGAGGCATATCTCATTTTTGTGTATATTCCAATTAAACACTTGAGATGAATTTTTTGTGATCAGTTTTTTCCAGTTATTTCAATACCTTTACAATTTGCATCCTATACTACCCTAAACAATTGCTGAAGAATATGTAAGATTTGGAAGAGTTCTTTTTAAAAAATCATACAGTCCAGATCCCTGCCCAGTACAAGGAATACCAGTGCTAAAATATCTCCAGAAAATGTCCACTATCTCCTTAAGTAGCCTATTGTTGAATAGTGTAGCATTACATTTTCCTGTCCAATCACAATCTGCTTCCTTGTAATTTAAGTAATTGTTTTTCATCTCATCTAAGATTTTCCTTCCTTACAGTTTATTATCTGGTTACTCTCCTCTGGACACTCTACTTTGTCATTCCTAAAATACACATCAAAAATTGGGTGCAATATCCTCAGTATGGCCTGACAAAGCTATTTTGACTCTCTATACTTTTGTGGATGCAGCTAAGGATTGCATTTCGGGTTTTTTTGTAACGCTTCTGCAGGATTCTGATTCTTCTTGCTTATACCCCTGCCCCATTTACTTTTCTACCCTCAACTCTATGTCCAGATCTTTGATTTGTTGTGTCTCTATAAATATCCTCTTATCCAGTCATGGTTGTCCCAAAGGTTTTTCCTTGAAGACATTTCATTTCTCATCCAAGAAGCTTCTTCAGTTCTGACTGAATGGTGGAGGATGGAAGGATTTATATTCCTTGCAGTTGTCTGGTCATTGGCACTCTTTCTGAGAGTCATTGGGGCCACCTGGAGGTTTATCTGTGCCCTCAAGGTCACCTGAATAGTGCAAGTGGGTGTGAGAAGATTCAACTACTCTCAGAAACTGTACATGTTTTTAAAATATGGATCACAAAGAAGTAGCCTGATTTCACCCTGATTTATTTAATCAAAAATATAGACATTATAAATACAAAATAATTGCAACATTAGGACATAACTTCCTTAATTTTCTTGTGTTTGTGAACTTCACAACATGAAGGGTAAGTCTATGTTCTTCTCTCCATGGCCAAAATAGATATAACCATGCTGTTTAGTATTAGGAATATGGTAGAATGTGAGTCCAGGCCAGAGTAGACTTCGCAGCACTACTACTCTGCCTCCTCTCTCTACTTGGATGCTCCAAGACCCTATGGAAAAAACAAATATTTACAAATATCACCATATACAATGAGATCACAGATTCTTTAACAGAAAAACAGCAATAGAGGAATTGGGAGCAGCAAACACGTATACCGGTACTTTGTTCCACACAATCTATGTACAGTAATTTCTTGGGAAACTGCAGTAATCTTTCCTGTATAAAATGCAACATCTGCAACAACGTTATTCCTATGCATTGTTCACATATTGGAAATGGAGAAAAATACAATATTCCTGTGAGTCATCTTAATCCTCATGCAGTTCTTCCTATTAGATTTAAGCCTTTAAAAATACCTACCAGTATTATGTATATATAAACTACTGTGAACAATAATGTTCATCTATAGTATAGCCTTTATTGTCATTGTACATCATGTATGCAACAAAATCTATCTCCTAAAATAAATTATCTACAAATGTCTACTCTACTCCAACAATAATAATTTGCTTCTTTATGGATATATTGCAAAGGATATATTGTTTCACTCTGAAAAATTAGTTATCTTCTCCTTTTCTAATAACGGCAATCCCTTCTTAAATTTATAGCAAGGTGTAAGGAAGAGAGAAGTGGTCTTTTCCCCCTAAAACAAGAATTCATATGTATGAAATATCATACTACTGTGTTTTGAACTGTGATAAGGTATTCTAAGGGTAAAATTAGTGCTTTGGTTCCCGGAAAGTAAAAGTAAGAAAAAGAAACAGCAGAGAGAGAGTCACAATACCTCCATTAGTTTACAGAGCAATTCATTTTCCTTGGTGTCTTTTGTGGTTCCAACTTTGAAGAAAAGGAGTATTAAGGTAGTAAAAGTTTCAATGTTAATTTATGCTTTGGTGATGCCAAGAATATTAAAGTATAATTCAAACCAAGACTGATCAATGGGTTCTGAACTAATAATCAGAGAACTATGGGAGTGAAAAAAGGGGTACTTTTTGGATATGCTTCATCCAAAGAAACTTGCCAAAATTGGAGAATGTTTCCAATAAATATTAAATAGATATATTCACAGATGGAAATATTCAGTAGTTCCTAGGAAAAGGACTATGAATATCTTAATACAATGTTATTCTTGTGGCAAATTCTTTGTGCTTTCTGAATTCCATATCAAAATGAATGTTCAAGAATCTATATTAGATACCACAATACTGAATACATAAACAATACATCACTATACTGTAACTCTGGTGTTAAGATAATCATTTACTCAATGGTGCTCTTTTGAATACTTCAGTGACACACACTATTATTTTCTGAAAGTTGAGCTGACCAGTCCCTCCAATTCAACCTACAATAATGATCTGTGCCTTCCCTCCACCCTATTTAATTTCCATCACATACTCTCCTTGGGATATCCTCTTTGGGACTGCCATTAAAGGACATTCACAAATTACAGCTGGTGAATAGAGCAGCTGCTTCCTTTATAAGAAGAAAACTACATAACAAGCATAACTTTTTACCCGATTCCTGCCAAACAACTGTCAGATCCACTGTTTCTCCTTTGTTAAACTTGAAGCAGCAAAATCAAAGCCTCACCTAATCCAAGACTGAGCATTACCTTTTTTTTCTTAACAATCAACACAAACAAATCACACAATCAAGTTCAAGGCAGAATTTAATGAAATTTTAACTAAGTATTTTATCAAATAAGGAGATGTGGTTTCTTTAAAGGTTCCTTTAAAAGATCGGTCATTCAATTTAAATTCAAATTGTCTACAGAGAAAGGTAATTTTCATAGGTATTTTTCATAGGTGCTTTCGAGTTGATTGTTGCCAGCATCTAACCATGATCAGGAAGCAAATGACAAGAAGCATTAAAGGAGGAAAAACTTTTTCATAACATTGATAAACCATGACTGAAAACAAAAGAAATACTAGAGATCTATGAAGGCTGTAAATCTTGCTAAAAACCAACCTGGTTTTTGCCACATAGAATACTCTAGGGCAGTGTTTCTCAACCTTGGTGATTTTAAGTCCTGTGGGCTTCAACTCCCAGAATCCCCCAGCCAGCTGGCTGGGGAATTCTGGGAGTTGAAGCCCACAGGACTTAAAGTCACCAAGGTTGAGAAACACTGCTCTAGGGTAAAGGGCTGTTATTGTTGCTGCTCTTTTATCCAACTGTTTTGTTTCAGTGTAGGTAAGCCATCCAAATGTCAAA